TGCGGGGCCGATTGACAGGCTGGTCACTGCTCATAGATAGTATACCAGAAGGATGGATCCAGTCTTAGCGGCAAGATGATGGTTTGCGGAGGGTGGCGACGGTGGTTTGCCCCGCAGAGCGCGAAGAGATACATCAGTGAGCGGTGTGGTTCTCCCACGTTGCACAATCCAGGACAAAGTAACAGCTCGTCCGTGATGCCTCGTGTCGTGACAGCGCTGTTGCAAGTCTATTATCCATCGCCGCCATTCGCTAAGCATGCCCGCTTTTTGACTAGCAGAGCGCATATTCGAAGCAATGTGAGCCTCATGGAGGCAAAGACGAAAAGAGCGGGCGCCTACAAGTCGGGGGAAAGCTCGCGAGCGCGTGACGTCACGCGTTGATGTTGCATCAATCCGGATGGACTTGGTCCCGCCAGTCATCCACCGATCTGACCGCGACCAGCCCGCGGCCAGCACCGGACGTTCGATGGACAGCCAACCCAAGTCGGTTCGTCCACTGCACGAGCTCAATAGCATAGATGGAATTGTTTAAGAGGACCAATGATCTCGGTGAAGACTACATACGACGATTGTGCCACGCTATGTCTCAGCCTCTTTAGATCTGGCCTAGTCGAGGAACTCAGCGATGCATACACTTCGAGGCCACTTTCGTCCACCATCCATCTTTCGCGAAAGGTACTGCTTTCTACAGGCGTGTAGCTCGAGATGTTTCCTCTCCTCCCTTCAAGTCCTTCCTCTGTCGAGCAAATTCGAGAGCCCCGCAACGTTAACACCTGTCGTCTCCGCGTCGCGCGGCTTCTACGGCGTGACAGCAGCACCGTTGAGTCTTGCTCTCCTCGAATCTCATATAGGGGGCGAGGAGACCCATGCGCAGTGAAGTCCATCCGTTTGGGCTCTACATCGGAGGACAGGGCGAGACAACTTCGGGAGGTGCTGATGCACGAACGAGTCTCGGGAAGGCACGCCAACATCGTTCGCCTCAGAGACTGTTTCTTCGACTTTCACCACCTTTACTTTGTCCTCGACGGCGCCTTCGGAGGAAACATGCAGGATGCCATTTCAGAGCGCGCTCTTTTCTTCTACGATGATGGCGCCATACGCTCCTCGTTCGCACAAGTTGTCGACGCAGTCGCTTTCTGTCACGATCAAGGACTGTTTCATCGGGACATCAGGCCGAGGAACATCCTATGTTCTCTGGACGGACAACGCGTTTTCCTTTCAAACTTTCGCCTGGCCACCGAAAAGGAAGTGTCGGAGGAGTTCGGTATCGGCACACTTCCGTATCTGTCTCCAGGTCTGTTGCCCTCCAATCATTTGTCTTGGCAGATGCTTGATGATACTTTCAGATGCGCTGAATGCGGACTACGAACTGAAGAGCTATTCTACGCGACAAGGCGATGTTTGGGCTTTAGGTGTCATGTTGATCGACATGCTTACCGGCAGTACGCCCTGGAGAGAGGCCACCATTGCCGACGCAGATTTCCGCCACTACCTTCGATCCCCCTCCTGCTTCCTCAACGGCATGCCACTTTCACCCGAGGCTAAACGGCTTGTCCGGCGCATTCTTCATCATAATGGTCCCAGACGCATTTCTCCTCGCGAGCTCCTCGCGCGTTTGCCGTCGGTCAAAACATTCTTCCCGACGAAGGACGAGCTTCGGGTTGCTTCTGCGCATGTCTTGGTTCAGGTTCAGCGATTGATGGACCGTAATATTGCCGGCCGTAGACACTCGCCTCGGGTGTGGCAGCAGCGCAGCTCGCAACTGAGAGGGGCACTGTCCAATTCCCCTCGCGCCGCTACTCTCGATGCACGCGACCACACGCCTGTCGATGCACCCTTCAACAGCCCGCGATCATCTAGTAATGACGATTCACCAGATTCGGCGTCACCCGTATTTTCGGCCACTATCGAGTGCGGACCCCGCTCCCGGGACTTCTCGAGTCCAGGGACACCCTTCGACTCATCGGTGAACCAGGCTCGGCTCGACTTCTGCACGTCGCCTGCCTCGAACCCTGCTTCTGCGACATCGCCAGGGGAGTGCTTATGGCAAGTTCCCCCATGGCAGAAAAGTACATCTCGGCAGACATCCGTACGTTCTATCCCTTCAGCGGAGGCCCATCTACGGCTACTCAAGTTCATTCTGTCAGGTCGGCACTGGAAGCGATAGAACACTTGTTGATGGCGATTCATCACCGGCGTCCCCTAAGCGTCCCTCCGTGCACAGCCTCCCCCCAGTATGTTCAGTCTTTCTCACTCTTCATGAGACTCACGCGGTTTCCATAGCTGACGAGCTCGGTGTCGCGACATGCATCTCTACCGACCTTTACGTCCGCTATCGGGCAAATTTTCAAAGAATGCTCGTCTGCCAGCGAAGGCAATGCAAAGGCGTTATCGGATGCTCTACCGTCACCGCTTCTCCCAATCACCCTGCTTTCATTCAGGACAACTTCACAATGCAACACCCTCGATCTTTCAGCTTTTCCCGCTCAGCCGACACGCAACGGGACAGCTGGCGACGCTTCCCCTATTCGGCTCGACACATCTCTATCTGCTGGGGCTAGTGACATCGAGATCAACTCTCCTCGTGCCCAGATTCCAGCTCCTGGTCATATAAGCGCCGGCTCAGAGACATCAGAGGCAGAGAGCGTGGGTATACCCTACCTTGGAGCGGGACACGCGAACACTTCACTGGAGAGGGAACCGCTTTTATCCCACCCTCCATCGTTGGTGTCCGGAAACCATTCTGTATCCCAGCTCTTGTCCGCTCTCAGCATGAGCTCGCATTCACGGGCCCCGTCGTCGCCCTTGATTGCACAGTTGCCACCAGGAGCGTCGCTTCTTCGTATGCTGTCGCGGGTGTCCACCGCGTCCTCGACTGGCACGCCTTCCCCATGGACGCCAGCAACACCGACATGGCTCAAGCTTGGTGCATACGCTCGTTCTCTCAGCTCGCTCGCCGCAGAGGAGCGGGCTTTGGAGAAGGGCGTCGTGCGTGTAGTTTCCAGCGGGCAGATGGCGGAGGATGGAGTGATTCGAACCCTCTCGGGGCCACATGCGGCAGAGTCTGCAGCTGCTTTGCACTTTGGTGCGAAAGTCGGGGCGAGGATTGCGAGGCTGAGGTCCAACTTGTCGTCGAATGCGGTAGGTTAGAGAAATTCGACTAGAGTAGACAATATAGTGCGTTTTGAATGTACAGGATCCCATTGTCTTCACTGCAGCCCAAAGATGATAGGCTGCAGCCACATACCCCCAATGACCGATGGTAGAGGCATTTGTGTACTCAATGCGTTGTTAGCCGCCTGTGAACTCGCCCTATATGGGGGTCGAAAGTCAACACGACCACGGGACCTATTGCGTCAAACATCGGGCTCATGTCGGAGAGGGCTGCGTGGCAGTCCCTCCAAGCTTGAACTACTACACCCATCATGGCCCACGAAGCTGCCCTCATAGGCGACAATACGAATGCATACGTGGCAGAGCTTGCCGAAACATCGGCTGTGTGAACGGCAGCCTTATGCGCAAGGATACTCCGTCGTCGGATTTGCCCGACCAACGCCGAACTTTTGACTTGACGGTGACTCGAGGGTAACGGCGGCCCGCATAGATAACCTCAAACCGCCAAGTCGAGCATCTGTCTCCTCCCTCTGCCCGTCATCATGTGCGGAATTTTTGCTGTACACAACGTCGAGAACCCGAGCGCAGAGCGCCCGAGGTTTATTGCGATGAGCAAGCGTCAGCGCCATCGCGGCCCGGACTGGTCGGGCTGCTTCTGCGGCCGGAGATCGGTGCTCGTGCATGAACGTCTCGCAATCGTTGGCGTCGGTACGAAATACGACTAGACGCCTGCTATACTCTTTCTGACTCGCGTGCCTGCTTGATAGTCTCTGGCGCTCAGCCGATCACTGGCGAGGACAGCAAAATCGCTCTCTGCGTCAACGGCGAGATCTACAACCACTATGATCTGCGCGCCGAGTTCAGCGAGTACAACTTCAAGACGCATTCGGACTGCGAAGTCATCATCCCGATGGTATGCGCTTCCGTCGATGGTCGTGTGCGTGTACTAATACTATGCTGCAGTACAAGAAATACGGCAAGGAGCTGTGCTCGAAACTCGACGGCATGTTTTCCTTCGTTTTGCTGGACGAGTCCGTGAACCCGCCTCGCATCATCGCCGCACGCGACCCTATCGGCATCACCACACTCTACCAGGGCTGGAGCTCCAAGACGCCCGGCGCCACCTACTTCGCGTCTGAGCTCAAGTGCCTTGTCGACGAGTGCGACAAGATCATCTCTTTCCCGCCGGGACACATCTACGACTCGGCCGACGACTCCACAACGCGCTATTACTCGCCATCATGGTGGGACGGCGACGCGGATGGCGCCGCACGCCCGACGCAGCCTGCCGATCTCAAGCTCGTCCGCGAGACGCTCGAATTTGCCGTCAAGAAGCGCCTTATGTCCGAAGTGCCATACGGTGTTTTGCTGTCCGGCGGACTCGACAGCAGTCTCATTGCCGCCATCGCTGCACGTGAAACAGAAAAGGTCGCTCATGCGCAGTGGGAGTTGAAGCAAAAGGGGATGGCGCAGTCTGGTGCACCCGCCGAGCTGCTTGAGGAAGGTGCGTGCTACATTTTACGTGTCAATTGACAACTCTCTGATACGGACTCTCTTATCTTTACAGCACGCCTCGCGACGTGGCCTCAGTTGCACTCGTTCTCAATTGGTCTGGAGGGCTCGCCTGACCTCTTGGCGGCAAGGAAAGCAGCAGACTTCCTAGGGACAGTACATCACGAGTATGTCTTCACTGTGGAGGAGGGTCTGGACGCAATACCGGAGGTTATCCATCATCTTGAGACCTTCGATGTTACGACGGTGCGCGCAAGTACACCGATGTACTTGTTGAGCCGCAAGATCAAGGCGATGGGTGTGAAGATGGTGTTGTCCGGCGAGGGCTCGGACGAGATCTTCGGTGGTAAGCTTCATAACGCGCCTGTATGAGAATGCCGAGTTGCTGACATTCACAAAGGTTACCTCTACTTCCATGCGGCACCTGATGCGGACTCCTTCCACCAAGAACTCGTACGCCGCGTCAAAAACCTGCACACAGCCGACTGTCTGCGCGCCAACAAGTCGACCATGGCATGGGGCCTCGAGGCGCGCGTACCCTTCCTCGACAAGGCGTTCTTGGACGTCGCCATGACCATCGACGCAAAAGAAAAGATGTTCTCCAAGGGTGTCGCTCAGACAAAAGACGCGGACGGCCGTCCACACATGGAGAAGTACATCCTGCGCAAAGCGTTCGACTGCGCGCCGGACGGCAAACCATATCTCCCCGACGAGATCCTCTGGCGCCAGAAGGAGCAGTTCTCGGACGGTGTCGGGTACTCGTGGATCGACGGAATGAAGGACCAGGCCGCGCGCGTTGTCTCCGATGAGGCACTGGCGAAGGCCGCGGAACGCTGGCCTGAAAGCACGCCTGATACGAAGGAGGCGTACTGGATCCGCGAGATCTTCGACCAGTACTTCCCGTCTGAGGCAGCTGCGAAGACGGCTGTGCGCTGGATCCCTCGTGGCGATTGGGGGTGCGCACCGGATCCTAGCGGACGTAGTGTCAGCATTCACAACTCTGCGTACGACGGCAAGGCGGAGTAGATTTGCACGGCCCGTGCTGATCCTGTATCAAAATACTGTATGAAGAGCCACATGTATACCTTAGACGGCTTTTGAACGACCACGTTGTTGTTGTACTCTTACATTCTTTGTCTGGAGCTCCGCAGGTTTTCACTGCATCACGATCAGGTAGAAGATGCAGATATGCGTTTTTGTGCAGGTATAACATGAAGGAGAACAGCTACAGGATTGAATGCGCAAGATGATACAGGATGCAAGTGATAACGATGCAGAGCATGAGCAGAACGGAAGAACAAAGACCCAAACTGAAAAGAGAGAAAACAACAAAGATACAGCAGAAACGATGCGAATAGAAGCTTGCTCGCGGTCAATGCTGTGCCTCCGCATAGCGCGAGGCGCGCGGGGCAGGGATAGCGACGGCCTTCGTATGCGTCGAGCATCCCTCCGCGCGGTACTGGTTTCCAGACAAAGCGAGAACAAGCTCCTCGAAAGAGCGCGCGCCGGGCGCTAGGTTGGCATTTTGCACGGCATGGGTCTCGGGCGTCTCCGGGCCGTCGGAATGGCCCACGGACGGCGCCGCGGCGGGCTGAAAGTCTGGAGAGAGCGCTGGCATCGGGGCGGTGGTCGGCGGCGTGATCGGTGGCGTAGGGAAGGGCGCGTTTGGGGGTGCCGCTGGGGGAGAAGGAGGAGCAGGGCTAGGGTTGAGACCCGTCGGGGGTCGATCATTCACGTATGCGTCCTGCTCTCGTGTAGCCATAACGTCTGCGGCGGCGGCACACAGACCCACACGCATCCTCTGAGAGGCATCGATGTCGGCCGGTGGCGAAGCAGCGGCAGTCGTGCCAGAAGGAGTAGCCAGATACACCAAAGACGCGTCCTCCTCGAAGTAACCGTCCTTGACATGGCCCAACGAGCGCTCCGCAGCGTATCGCCTGTCGAACTGCGCCTCGAGCGCCTTGACGCGTATGGCAATGTACTTGTCGGAGATGGCAATCACGCTCGGCTCTGCGCGCCGCAACTCTGATACGGAGGGATAGAATCTATCGACCTCCGCGATCGCGACGCGCAAGTCTTCAAGTGAGATGCGCTGTTCGGGGATAGGCTCGAGGATACGACGGATGACGCTACTTGCGGATTTGGTGACGGGTAGGGCGTAGTGAATGTAGTCCCGGTTACGGAGGTAGAAGTTGTAGTGATAGTCGGTCATGACGGCTTCTTCCCACAGGCCGCAGGATGCGAGAACGTTGATGAAGACTGCGCCTAGAGCCCAGATGTCGTTCAAGCGCGGGCAGTAGAACTTGACTTGTTTGTTTGCGTTGATGACCTCTGCGAAAGAGAAAGTGCTCAAAATCGCGTCAGGGATGATGATAGGGGGACGCACCAGGACTCATGTACCCTTTACTCCCCATCTTGAACGATGCACTCCGCTCGCTATCCGTCGCCAGCCCAAAGTCCGAGAGATACCAGTGTCGGCCGTCGGCAGAGACTAAGACATTCTCAGGCTTTATGTCGCGGTGAAAGATGCCCTTCGCGTGACAGAACGCCAGAGCGTCGATGAGCTGCAAGAACACCATCTTCGTCAGTTCTTCCTCGCAGAGATAGATCGCCTTCTCGGTGATAGCGGAGAACAAGTCGCCGCCAGAGACGTTGTCCAGGACGATGTACCGGTACTCAGAGTCGGAGAACGCGCGGTGGAACGAGACGATGTGCGGGTGAAACGCGACCTCCATGTGAAAGGCGAGCTCCCGAAGCTGCGACAGGCGGCCGCTGCCCTCTTTCTTCTTCGCGACGACCTTGACGGCGTAGAGCTTGTTGTCGGTGGACTGGACTTGAGGCTCGAATGCGCGGAAGACGGCGCCGAAGCCGCCGCAGCCGATGATGTCGAGGAGACGGAGAGAGCCGTTGTCGATGAACTTGCCAACCATCGCGGCCTGCGCGGACGAAACTGAAGGGGCGACCATGGCGCTGTAGAACGGAAGAGGTTAGAAGAAGACTGAGAAAGGAAAGCAGAAGGAAAGAGAGAAAGAATAGAAAGGGCGGGGTCGCGCGGCGGTGGTTATGTAGCGCCGCCAGTCCAGTCCTAGACATGCCTGCCGCCACGGACTCAGCATCTAGACTCTCTACTTCACCCAGTCGTGAGTCGAAATTCAGCCTTAAACGCCGAGACACCGGCGTCCCATCGACGCCCTTTAGGAGAGGTGTCGTGTGCATGCGCGGACTAGCCGAGTGAACATGGCGAGTTGTAAGTGGAACTATCTTGTCAGCTTTCACGCGAGATGCGCTAGAGGAATGTCTTGCCCGAGAGCATGGGCGTGACGATATGTATTGAGAGTGCCATTATATTCCATATATGCAAGTAGCAGCTCGCTATTCCTTGGAATAGACGAGCAGTGCGGCTATAGCCTGATGGTGGTACTTGGTCAACTAAAGTGCGCCGAAGTCCAGACTCTCGAGTCTCAAATTCGCGCGTGACGTCACGCGCCAAGGCGTTCATTTGCGAACTTCACCAGATCAGCGATGGCCTCCTCTCCGGTCCCTCCCTCACTTAGAGCGACAGGAAGAAAAGTGCTTGTTGAAGTCACTCAGGCTGACATGATCCTCACACATCCTCGGTCACGCTTCGCCGTTTGAGGGAAAGAAACCCCGACGATCAAGCCGAGCATCATCATTCGCGTGGTATAAGCTACATACGCGCCAACACAAGCCCAAGAAAGAGGTATAGTTGTGATGGGGATACGAAACGCCCGCAACGAGTCTGCGGCGTATAGTCCAAGCCAAGGAGACAAGAGGCGCACTCCGAGGGTAAAAGTATGACGAGACAACAGAAACCAACGGTAAGATATAAACAAGGAAAGGCTCGGAAGGGAGAGACGAGGCGCTGGGAGGAGAACCGAAAGGGTGGCAGACACAGCAGGCGGAGACATGGTATTACAGTGAGACTTGGGGGAATTGTTCATCGATAAGACACACGACCGTCAGAACCGGCGCATTTGCGGCGGAGGCTGCTGCTGCATGTGCGGCGGTGGCGGGCCACGCATTTGCTGAGGATATCCTTGCGGAGGCGGGCCCTGGCCGGGATGCGGTCCATTAGGGTATGGGCGAGCACCTGGCGGCATTTGCTGCATTGGTGTCCCACCGCGCATCGGGGGTGGCATCCCGTTGGGCGGACCTTGAGGAGGCATAGCGTTTGGATGGCCAGGCGGAGGCGGGCCCCTCATGCCGGGCGGCGGAGGGCCACGCATCTGCGGCGGTTGCTGCCCATGCGGGCCAGGAGGTGGAGGGCCACGAGCACCTTGTGGGCCAGCAGGCACTGGGCCGTCGTGTAATTGAACTGGCGCTCGTTGCTGAGGAGCAGGTGAGGCGCTTGGAATTCCACCGTTAGGAGTTCCTACGAGGCATCGTCAGCATACGTGTCCAACACGTCGGTCAGAAGCGCCGATCGTGTGCACTGACCTGCAGGTGAACCACCCTTTTCAGCCGCTTTGATGATCTCGTCGCTAAATAAAGACGTTGTTAGCTGTTGTTAGGCGGGCCACGAGGGCTGGTCGGAGCGGCGGATCTGGTAACTTACTCGAGCAAGTTTAGCGCGGCGCAGAGTACGACCCATTCGACGCAATCCTCGTTACCCTCGCCAAGCGTCTGCCACACAGCTTTCTCCTCGGGCGTCTTTCCAGAGATAGTGATGCGCGTGCCGCCGCCGTTCGGGCCGGGCGGGTTCTTCTGGATCTTGCCAAACTCGATGCGCTTTGGCGGGATATTGTGCCCTGCGTAGGCAAAGTAGAACATGGTCCAGAACGCTGCGTTCGGATTGGGCTTGGAGATCTGGAACAGCGGCAGGTCGGGCGAGTCTGGAGACGGGAGGGCGAGCTTGTAGATGGGGGATATGACGCCGGTGTTTGTGATGGACCATTTGAGGTTTCGAGAAGCCTCGCATCGGACTACTTTGGATGACGATCCTCCATGGCCGGGGTCCGATGCTGCGCTTTTGTTCGGCGCGTTGTTGGGGCGTGGAGGGAAGAGCTTGGCAACGCAGAGGTCACCCTGTGGCGAGGGCGTCAATAGGTAGTTTTCGGCATTCTGTACACAGAACGTGAGTATTAAACATAGTTATTCAAGTGCGATCGATGACCTACGAAATTGGTGTGTAAGTACGAGTAGAGGATGTTAGCAGGTTGCCCATGTGGTGTTACGATGAGCGTAGGCAGATGGTTGGGTATCGGCGGGTGATTGGGCGAGGTATAGATAGCGTATATGGCTATACGCATCCTTAATCAGTAAAGTGAAACATTTGCGGGAGGGTATACGAACCAGCCATAGTATGGAGATGGGGGAACGGGAACAAGCGGTGTCCGGCGCTATGAGCAGTATCCTAGCAGCACGGGGACGGAGCTGTACTGATGAGAGTTAGCAGGGAGCGTGGGTGGTGGTGGTCAGGGAGAGAGGGACGGCTGTTCTGGAATATCGGTATGCGTGTGAACTGCGGCCGAGAACGTTGAGCGTTCGGTTTCGACGACGTCCCTTGCTGGTCACGGTCACCCTCCAATCGATCCACGCCGCCAGCCTCCGTCCGTCCGTCCACGACTGTCACTGTAAAGTCCGAGGTAATATATGTCCCGTCTGGGAATAACCTCGCCATTTACTCACGATTCGCGGGTAGTTGTATACCGTCACGTCCGTGTACATCAGCTTGCGCGCTTAGAGCCGTATAACACCTGCCCGATGCGCTCCTTCAAGAAGAGTCTGGGCGTACGGAACATCTTTGTTTAGATCGTCGACTGCGATGCTTATATTGTATATATAGCTTAAAGGCAGCAAGGACTCGACATCGAGCAAGACGAAGGATCCGAAGCCGACCTCGTCGACACCACCGCCGGACACATCCAAGCCACTGCCGCAGCCTGCAGCGCCGTCCAAGGGCGGGCTCGCTGGGCTGGCGACGAACAACTCGAGCAGCCAGTCGCTTCCTTCCTCCCAGACGTCCACCTCATCCAGCCGCTCTGCCACAGGTCCACCCAATAATCAGCCAAACAAATACGCTGCCGCCGGCAACCCTCCGCCGTCGACGACGCCCCCGCTCGTCGTCGTCCACCCCGATGCATCCGACCCCGCTCGCCAGTCCGGCTTTGGCTCCCCAGAACGCTCCTCCCTCGGCCTCGACGGCCCGGCTGGCCCCCCACTGATCCCAGCCCGTGCCAACACACTCAACCGTTTGCGGACAGGGCCAAAGGATGCCATCACCATGGTCGGCAAGCCGCCGCGCAAGCAGCGGAGCAGTCGGTTCGTCGTCAACGAAAAGGTGGAGATCGAGCGCCTCCCGCCGTTCATGGGTCCGTATCATCGCCCTCACTTCACCCGTCGGCGTGCACGCGTGCTCAATCGGCCTCGTGTGCCCTTGCAGAAACACCCCCCAGCGAACGGCCCCAGCTCTTCGTCCGCAAGCTCCACCAATGTCACGTCCTCTTCGACTTTAACGACGCCAGCTCGGACCTCAAGGGCAAGCAGATCAAGGCGCAGACCTTGCACGAAATGCTCGAATACATCACTAACCAGCGCGGTGTCATCACCGAGAATATATACCCCGAGGTGGTCAAGATGGTGCGTAGATCAATCCCGGCAAACTCTCCCATGCAACAGTCTATTCACTGGGCACCTGATGATACAGTTTGCGACCAACCTTTTCCGCTCCATACCCCCGCCTGTGAACCCCGCAGGCGATGCCTTCGATCCCGAAGAGGACGAGCCCGTGTTAGAACTTGCCTGGCCACACCTCAAGATCGTCTACGAGTTCTTCCTCCGCTTTGTCGAGTCCCCCGACTTCAACACCAATCTCGCGAAGCGGTACATCGACCAGTCATTCGTGCTTAACTTGCTCGAGCTCTTCGACTCGGAAGACCCGCGTGAGCGCGACTTTCTCAAGACGACGCTGCACCGGATCTACGGCAAGTTCCTCAACTTGCGCGCTCCGATTAGGCGCTCGATCAACAACGTCTTCTTCCATTTCGTTTACGAGACCGAGCGACACAACGGTATCGCGGAGTTGCTGGAGATCCTCGGGTCCATCATCAATGGCTTCGCGCTTCCATTGAAGGAGGAGCACAAGATCTTCCTTATGCGCGTGCTCATCCCGCTGCACAAGGTCAAGAGCCTGTCGATGTACCACCCGCAGCTCGCATACTGCGTTGTCCAGTTCCTCGAGAAGGACGGTTCGCTTGCGGAAGAGGTTATCCTCGGTCTGCTGCGATACTGGCCCAAGGTCAACTCGCCGAAGGAGGTCATGTTCCTATCCGAAGTCGAGGAGATACTCGACGTGATCGACTCGAACGAGTTCCAGAAGATCCAGGTGCCGCTGTTCCAGCAGCTTGCAAGGTGCATCAATAGCCAGCACTTCCAGGTTGCCGAGCGCGCGTTGTATTACTGGAACAACGAGTACATCGTGAACCTCATGAGCGCAAACATGCCTGTCGTCCTACCGATTGTCTTCCCGGCATTATTCACCAACTCAAAATCGCATTGGAATAGGTGGGCTCATCGCATAGTGACCACGCCTATAGAAGACTAACGTCTTTGATAGGACAATCCACGGAATGGTGTACAACGCATTGAAGTTGTTCATGGAGATCAACCCCGACCTCTTCGAAGAGACGATGCAGCAGTACAAGCAGGCGAAGATCGAGGAGCGACATCATGCGGTCCAGCGGTACGAGACCTGGAAGCGTCTGCGCGAGACCGCGAGGACAAATGCAAACGGTTCATTGCCCGAGGGCTTCGACAAAGACGAGCCCGAGGCGCCTCCGCCCGCACCAGCCGACGACGCCGACATCCTCGACCTCGCACTCGACCTGAACGCCGTCTCCATCGAAGGCGAGATCCCGCACGAGTGGGACGACAACCACGGAGTCGAGCGTGTACCCGCCGCGGACCCCGGTCTCGACGTGAGTTGAATTCCATTATGAACTCAGCGATGGCTTCTGTTTCTCGGTGTCCTGATTCGATCGCTTTACTTACGAATAGAACGCTATGCCCGACATAGATCAACAACCACTCTCTGGCCCAGGCGGTCCACACGTGAGGAGGAAAAGCGTGCTGCCGGTCGATCCGTCGGTCTTGCAGGACTTGCAGACGCACCGGCCTTTGGATCTCAACGGGACGCGCTGAGCGTCGAGAACGCCGATGGAGTGGTAGAGGTGCGGAAGAGACTCACAGAGGGCTCGGTTCCAGAGAAGGAGGCTGGCTTGTTTTCATTCTTACTATATACACTATGCACACGTACATGCACATCGACTCGATCTCTCGTCTGCGACGCGGCTCGGTCTGGTCCCCGTTTATATCCCCCTCCGTTTGTTCATATGTTCATACGGCCTCAAACTCCTTTATCCTGGCACGGTACCGGCAGCCTGGCGGACTCGGTTGGATCTTCTGTGGTGCTTGTTGTAATCAAGAACGTTCAGCCACATCTGTCGGGAAATGGACGCCAAGGCTTTCGCGAACGCGGACAACAGCCCATGTTCCCCGCCCAGGGTAGAAAGCACTTCGGGGGCCGGTGTCCGCGCAAAGAGAGTTACATATTCAGCTCCGCACATGTGTACGAGGAATGCCAGGCGGCTGGCGCCGCCAAAACCTTGCGTGGAAGCTTCTTATATAGCTTGCAAAAATCCACACAATAAATCTCACATCAGGCGGGGAAGTGACGACAAAAGGCGTGAATTTCTACCATATCCGCGGATATCGACGAGGTAGAAGTGACCTACAGTGGCGTGCAAAATAAACGCATGGGGTCTATGACCGCATTTTCCCACGCGTACTGTCCAAATAAAATGCTACGATAATAGTATACGGAGATTAATGAGGGAATGGAGTACGAACTGTACAAAATATGCAATATTGGTACAACTATGAATAGAGTTTGAATTTTAATAAACGGTGTATTTTTACTTTTGCCAGTAAGCGTGAGAGAAAGTACGACGGCTCAGACTAGAGATCAAGGGTAAGCTACCACATTTTTCTTGAAGCCGAAAGTCGGTACCGTACTGGAGCTACGATGCTCGCAAAACCGCCATTTTCGTGCAGAATGGCCTTCAAGTGGTCAAAATGGCGG